CCCCCCCCCCCCCCTCTACATCCATCATGACCCATTCAATTGCCCATTAATTCTCATCATTGTTTTCATTTTAAAACCCCCAACCCATTCACACTTTTGTAACCCCCATATTCAACACACATTCATCTTCTCTCCCTCTCTCTTACTTTTGGCCAGCAGCAGCAGCTCAGGAGTAGTCTCCGGCGAAGCTCCGGTGGATGCACGGGTGAGGAGGGAAGGACGGAAGAGCTAGGCCGTTCGTGTGAAACGTAGTCATCGTTCGTCCGTCCGTTCATCTCGTTCCGTCAACCCCTACGTTTAGAGGTGAGTAGTTTTCCCCTCTAATTCTAGAACATTTAGTTATAATCTATATCGTTATGTTCATAGGATTACCCGCCTAAACATACGTGTGTCCACGTTATCATGACTCTTCATTATTGGACCTCTCGATTATGTACTCGTTGATATAAATGTTTTGAAACCCTGTAAGTTCATCGATTAATTAACATGGAAATGTAAGCATTTATTCCTAAAACTTCTAACGTTTTGATGACAAACAAGCAGATAAATTGGAAATCAGCGTGTCTTGATAATCGAGTTACAGGAAACTACAATCGACTATCAGGCCACGCTGGACTCCTCAGTTATTTCAGCACAGCGTGATAATCGATTATCACATATGTGATAATCGACTATCAGGCCTTGCGAATTCTTAGGTCTGAGTTGGCTTCATTGATAATCGATTATCACATAAGCAATAATCGATTATCAGGCCTTTCTGAACTTAGGACCTCCCGAACAAACCAACTTGACAATCGATTGTCATAAGGTGACAATCGACTATCACAGTCTGCAGGACTTTGGGGACAGAAGCTCCACAACATGATAATCGATTATCAACAGTAGACAATCGATTATCAGCCAGTTCTGAATCTAAGGCCATCATGTTGAACAAATTGTTTTCATACGGAATCAAACTTATATGTATGCGTTGAATTTAACTTCATTCTTCAATCAATGCATTCATTTCACCATGTTCATCCTAGACGCATGTCCTAGGTTTATCATCATATGCATACCACAGTAGGGAGGTCAGGCTTTCCTAGTTTATCATCATATGCATACCACAGTAGGGATAGTATACGACACTAGTGGGAGTAATATTAAATATATAGTTGTGATAATTATATATAGTTGTGGATTCTATATATATAGTTGTGATAATTATATATATTGATATATATATATATATATATATGTTGATCTTGTGATGGATTCTCTCTCTAAAACTCCGGCAGCCAGCTCCGGTTGTGCTCCGGCAACTTCAAAGCTCTTCTCATATTTATTTAAACAACAGCCAACTGCGGTCAATGCTCCTCCGTTGAAGCCTATGTTCAAAGGCTGCCCTTTAGTGTCTTTCTCAAAAAAAGATGTAGATAACCTGTCCCAAAAATTCAGAGATGCGCTGGTGGGAAGATTTCGGCGCAGGCCTCCCATGTCCGTTATCAAAACATTCCTGGCAAGACTTGGATTTGGGGGAGGATTCACGGTGGCTGAGCTAACGACGCACAATGTGCTCATCAATTTTGAGCTGGACCAGGATTATCAACACCTATTCTATCGCCAATCCTGGACCCTAGGAGCTGAGACAATGGTGGTCACTAAGTGGTCTCCCAATCTGCGTCCAGAAGAGGATTCACCTATTGTTCCGGTCTGGATCACAATCCCCAATCTTCCCATCCACCTCCATGATCAACAAGCTCTCTTCAACATCACTTCATTGCTCGGCAAGCCTCTAAAGGTAGACAGTGCAACCCTCAATTTCTCTAGACCAAAAGCTGCTAGGGTTTGCTTGGAGGTGGATGTTTCAATCCCTCTACACAGCAAAATTCATGTTCGACATGTCGAAGAAGACCTTTTCTTCCAGGTTATCTATGAAGAACCCCCTGCCTTTTGCTCTATATGTCGCAAACTAGGTCACGATTGCAAAAAGAAGGCTCCGGCAGATCCACCGGAAAATGCATCGGTAAAGAAGCCAGAGTTTTCCCGGAAAGCTATGGCAGAGGATAAGCAGGAGACATGGTGGACCCTAGTCCAGAGGGGTGGTAAATCATCAGGAATTCAGTCCAAAAAATGGGTCCCTAAACCAAATGAACAACCTAAAAGTCCAGATGTAAGAAACAAAGGTACGGATTCCACTTTAGTGCAGAACATTCAAGAGCAAAATTTCAAGTTGGGGTCCATTCCAATTATGCAAACACCATACCAAGAAGAAACCTCTAGGACTGGGGCCTCTCGTAGGCCAATTATCCTACAGAGCTCTGGTACCATGTATTTGGATACCTCTGGTGTAGCTTACTCCTCAGCAGACACATGCATAGAGACCCCAGATAATACTTTAGTGATACCAAACACTCCCTCACAAACAACACAATTGATTGAGGATATCCCACTCAAACATACCTCATATTCATGTCCTCCTTCACCAGTTTCTTTGGCTAGAGTTCGAACAAGATCAGATTTCAAGAAGTCTGGGAATGGCGTCTTCTTAGCACTTCAATGATTAATTTACTATTTTGGAATATAAGGGGAGTCTCTCGTCGGTGCAAAAGACTCACCCTCCTCAAAAAGCACCATCAACTTAATTTCCTTTGCATTATTGAACCTATGATTCCTGCCACTAAATGTTCTAAGTATTCTTTTTTTGCTCGGTTTCTCTGGCTATCAGTCTGTTGCCAACAACAAAATCTGGTTTTTTTGGGATAAATCAGTATACTCCCTTTCTAACAGCAAGGACTATGGACAAATTTGTCATTTTCTTTTACATGACATCAACATGGATAATGACTTTATCATCAGCTGCGTTTATGGTGGGCACTCTACATCTGCAAGGAAGCAGCTATGGAATGTCATTGTTTCCCTTCATAGTAACAATGTCCTTCCTTGGTGTCTAGGAGGGGACTTCAACACAATTTCTAACCTTCTTCACCATAAAGGGTCTAGGCTTCCTGATTTGGAGGGAGTGTGTGATTTCAGTGACTGCATTAAGGACTGCAACCTCAATGAACCTACATTCACAGGACCTTCTTTCACTTGGCATGGAGTGAGAAGCAATGGCAATGTGTGGAAAAGACTTGACAGAGTCTTTTTTAATGATGTCTGGGATACTAAATGGCCAAAAACCTCTTTGACTCACATGGCTAAAAACGGAAGTGACCACTGCCCTCTTCTCTTCACCTCTCAAATTAGAGACACTCACACCTCCAAAGCTTTCAAATTCCAAAACATGTGGCTGCTTAAAGAAGAGTTTATGGATTACTGCAAAAAGAGCTGGGAAGAAGTTCCTTTTCATGGGGGAATGAAGAGTCTGTTCACAAGGCTTCATCATCTCAAAGGAAAATTATCAGCCTGGAACAAAACCAGCTTTGGAAATGTATTTGACATGCTTAAAGAAGCTGAAGATGAGGCTACCAGAGCAGAAATTTTATTTCACACGAATCCCACTACGACTAATAAGATCCTTCTCAACCAAAAACAGGCTGTCCTTGCAGACGTTTCCAACAGGGAGTACCACTTCTGGAAACAAAAATGCAGCTTGAAGTGGTTCAAAGAAGGAGATGCCAACACCAAATTCTTTCACGGTCTGGTGAAGGAAAAAAGAAGAAAGCAGAGGATTAATGTCTTGATGAATGAAAACGGAGAAGCTATTTAAGACACATGCTCTTTAGAAGACATGGTGGTAAATCATTTTTCCACCCTTTTCAATGGCACAGAGCAAGCAGCAACAAAGGACATGTATAATGACTTTATGGCTTCCATTCCCCACTTGATCAACAATGAACAAAACACCAAATTGATGGCACTTCCTTCAGAGCAGGAACTCAAAGACATCCTTTTGGACCATCAAGAACAAAAACTTTTGGGGGAAACTATTTCGCTTTTGTGATTGTTGATGACTACTCTCGATTCACATGGACATTATTTCTAACTCACAAAACTGAGGCATTTCATGTTTTCAAAACTTTTCTCAAAAAGGTTCAAAATGAATAAGGCTTAACCACCGTAGCCATACGAAGCGATCATGGTGGAGAGTTTGAACGAGATCTCTTTACCGAGTTTTGTGACGAACTAGGCATCGAGCATAACTTCTCCGCTCCACGTACACTACAACAAAATGGCGTGGTGGAACATAAAAATCGTTGTCTCGAGGAGATGGCTAGAACTATGCTCGATGAGGCAAAAATTCCTAAGTATTTTTGGGCGGATGCCATGAGTACCGCGAGCTACGGGTTAAACCGAGCTGTCATTAGCCGTCATTAAACCGAGCCATCTTCGATTCTTTGGTTGCAAATGTTTTGTTCACAATAACGGAAAAAGATAACTTGGGTAAATTCGATGCAAAATGTAACGCCCTGCAACCCGGTCTGATAGAATTGATTATTTTAAATAATTAATTACTGTCCCGGACCGGAGTTGGGGAAAATAAAAGTTCTTGGAAAAATTATTTGATCATATCATTAAATTGGTTTGACTGTCTGATTCCAGAAACGCAAACGGATCCCAATTCGGACCCGTTCGAGGGAAAAAGCGCGTACCGTTCAGGTCAGATTTTACATAACGGAGTAAATAAAATCTTTGTAACCCCATACCCTCTTGGTTCGCCCCCCCCCCTACATCCATCATGACCCATTCAATTGCCCATTAATTCTCATCTTTGTTTTCATTTTAAAACCCCAACCCATTCACACCTTTGTACCCCCCATATTCAACACACATTCATCTTCTCTCCCTCTCTCTTACTTTTGGCCAGCAGCAGCAGCTCAGGAGTAGTCTCCGGCGAAGCTCCGGTGGATGCACGGGTGAGGAGGGAAGGACGGAAGAGCTAGGCCGTTCGTGTGAAACGTAGTCATCGTTCGTCCGTCCGTTCATCTCGTTCCGTCAACCCCTACGTTTAGAGGTGAGTAGTTTTCCCCTCTAATTCTAGAACATTTAGTTATAATCTATATCGTTATGTTCATAGGATTACCCGCCTAAACATACGTGTGTCCACGTTATCATGACTCTTCGTTATTGGACCTCTCGATTATGTACTCGTTGATATAAATGTTTTGAAACCCTGTAAGTTCATCGATTAATTAACATGGAAATGTAAACATTTATTCCTAAAACTACCAACGTTTTGATGACAAACAAGCAGATAAATTGGAAATCAGCGTGTCTTGATAATCGAGTTACAGGAAACTACAATCGACTATCAGGCCACGCTGGACTCCTCAGTTGTTTCAGCACAGTGTGATAGTCGATTATCACATATGTGATAATCGACTATCAGGCCTTGCGAATTCTTAGGTCTGAGTTGGCTTCACTGATAATCGATTATCACATAAGCAATAATCGATTATCAGGCCTTTCTGAACTTAGGACCTCCCGAACAAACCAACTTGACAATCGATTGTCATAAGGTGACAATTGACTATCACAGTCTGCAGGACTTTGGGGACAGAAGCTACACAGCATGATAATCGATTATCAACAGTAGACAATCGACTATCAGCCAGTTCTGAATCTAAGGCCATCATGTTGAACTAATTGTTTTCATACGGAATCAAACATATATGTATGCGTTGAATTTAACTTCATTATTCAATCAATGCATTCATTTCACCATGTTCATCCTAGACGCATGTCCTAGGTTTATCATCATATGCATACCACAGTAGGGAGGTCAGGTTTTCGTGCGCCTACTACAGTGGGCCCGCCCAAGAACCTTTGCAATCCAACGGGTTTTCATCAGTTGGGCTTTGTGTACATACATAGTGGTCAGGTTACGGCTACTACTCGGTTTTGCTAGTCCACTTCTTCCCGGCTCATTACCGTTCTGGTATGAAAACCGGAGTGCAGGGGTGATCCTGTCAAGTGAAGCTAAGCCAGGGGTATCCTTGATAGTTTAAGTCATGCATCAAGTCATCATCATGTATGTTCCTCATCTCGTCAATATTCAATGCGTTGTATATCATCTTGTTATGCGTAATAATATCCCACCAAGTGCAGTCCGAACAGTTAGTAAACATGTGGTTCTCTCATACGTTAAGTACAGGTACTAATCTGTATGTAACCATATGGGTTATCACTTTATGTTCTTTTGTTAGATTCACTCCTCAGCTTTTGCTGAGCATGTAGTTGTTTTTGCTACACGCAGGTAGACATGACGGTGCAGGTGCTAACCCTGGAGGGCAGTGATGGTGGGAGGAGGGATGGCATGGACGAGTTAATATTATATTTACATTTAATCAATTAGACATTTGGGCATGAACCCACCCTTTTCGTTTTATTTATTCTGGACTGGACTTATTTAATTACTTCCGCTTTTACTCTACATTAGTATCACGCACGTTTTGGGTGTCACACCCTAGTATTTATACCACTAATTAAACCTAACCGTTTTCATAATAGATGAGAATTAATTTTTTCCGCTATGGATGGTTTTTGGACCGCCCATGTAACCCTACCCTTTCGTTGGGTCGCGGGTGAACCGGGTCCACGGAAGGCGGTTGTTACAATTTGGTATCAGAGAAGTTCGGTTTTGTGAAAAAAAACAAATTTTATCATCTTAGTCAAAGGGTATTTTCACAAAGTCCACAGCCGCATCTCACATCACATCACTCCCAGGGAAAGGTACACCGTTATTTTAGTCACATGTATGCTATATTATAGTTAGTTCTGATTTATGATATTCCTATAGAGAATGAGTCAAGCAGCGGGCAACGTTGGACAGGCTGTCCTAGAGGGGGAGCCTGAGCACATGAGCGTGCACACGGAGGCGTCAAGCTTCACCCCACAGCAGGCCCCAGAGCAGGCAGCCCTGGGCGCGGGCCCTGTTCCAAAAGCTGCCCCTATCATTCATCCGCAGTTCGCGGCCAACTTCATGAATTTCCTCCAACAGATGTCTGGAGCGTATGTTCCACCACCTCCACCACGCCGCCGCTAGTGGCGATGGTCACCATCGAGAAGCTCTAGAAGAATGGAGCAAAGGAGTTCCTAGGCGATCATATTGCCGACCCCATGATCGCCAAGCGGTGGTTTGAGCGAACCACTCGAGCTTTGGTAACCCTGAGAGTCCCACAGAATCAGCGCGGCGACCTTGCAGTCGCCTTACTCTAGGACTCCGCCTATGACTGGTGGAAACACGTGGGAGCAGACGTCCCCGAGCCCGTTCCGTGGGCCGCATTTAAGTAACTGTTCTATGACGACTACATTCTAGAGCACTTCGTCGAGGTGAAGCGAGAGGAGTTTCTAAAGTTCACCCAGGGTGAACTCACTCTACCCGAGTATCGTCAGAAGTTTGACGAGCTCACAGGGTTTTGGCAGGACCTTGTCCCGACCGTGGAGAAGCAGTGCAAACGCTTTGTGGAAGGCTTACGTCCCGACCTTTCAGCTCATCTAACCATCGCCCCTCAGGGTGACATCAACGCGTTGTACAAAAATGCGTTGGACTTGAATGTGGCCCTCATTAAGAAGGCCGAGTACGAGCAGTCGCAGGAGGGGTCAACAGCACCATCTCGTCCTCCTCCGTCTCAGAAGGCAGGGACCAGCAACAAAAGGTCGATCGCAGCACCTAGCACCTCTCACCAGAGCAAGAAGGTGAAGTCAGCCCCAACCCAATCATCTGCACCCGTCCAGAAGAAGGGCAAAAGCGGAGACGGGTATCGCTACCCGATCTGCAACCTTTGTGGACGCAGGAATCCGGGAGAGTGTTGGTTTACTCAGGGCCTATGCCTTGGGTGTGGCTAGGCTGGGCATTTCCGCAATGAGTGTCCGAAGAATCCGGGCAAGGCGTTTCCATCTGCACCAGCTGTCTCAGCCCCAGCAGCGCAGCCAGCCCAGAGCTAGAAGTCTGTGGCAGCATTTAGTCAGCCCAAGCGGCAAGCATCTGGTGGTCAGGCGGGGAAGGCCCCGGCCCGTACGTACGTGATGCAAGGGCGTACTGAGCAGCCAGCCCATGACGTCATCATGGGTATGTTCACCTTATTCAATACATCCATCACAGCATTAATTGATCCGGGTTCTACTTTATCATATGTTTGTATGCCTATGCCTGTTGTGCCTAACATTCCAAGGGAAGACTTGGACAACCCAGTAATCGTGTCCAACCCATTGGGACACAATCTACGACTCACCCATGTGTATCACAATTGTCCATTGGTGGTTCAAGGAAAGACCTTCCCTGCAAGTCTCATTGAACTTCCACATCGGGAGTTTGACGTTATTCTAGGCATGGATTGGCTCACTGCCAACCAAGCCGTTATTGATTGTGGAGCACATACCGTTCGACTGAGAGCCGAAGACGGTAGCGACATTCTGATTCGTGGTGAGCTTCTTCCGAAAGCTCCAGAATTCATCTCATACATTCATGCTCGCCGACTCATTCACAAGAAGTGTGAAGCATTCCTGTGCACAGTGCGTGACACTCGTCAGGAGGCACCTCGTAGGGAAGACATCCCTATAGTATGTGACTTTCCCAATGTATTTCCAGATGACTTACCCGGCTTACCAACCCCTAGGGAGGTAGAGTTTTCCATTGATCTAGTTCCAGGAACAGGACCGATCTCAATCACACCTTATCGCATGGCGCCTGCGGAAATGAAGGAGCTGAAGGCTCAACTGCAGGAGTTGCGGGATAAGGGTTTCATTCGTCCTAGCGTGTCCCCTTGGGGAGCGCTAGTCCTGTTCATCCGCAAGAAGGACGGGTTGATGCGGTTGTGCATCGATTACCACGAGTTGAACAAAGTCACCATCAAGAATCGCTATCCGTTACCACACATTGATGATTTGTTTGACCAGCTAAGAGGAGCCACAGTCTTCTCTAAGATTGATCTCCGGTCAGGATACCACCAGATTCCCGTTAAGAAGGAAGACATTCCTAAGACAGCATTCCGTACTAGATACGGCCATTACGAGTTCACAGTCATGCCCTTTGGTTTGACTAACGCACCAGCAGTATTCATGGATCTCATGAACAGTGTGTTCGGTAAGCATCTTGATCAGTTTGTTGTGGTCTTCATCGATGACATCTTGGTGTACTCCAAGACGAGAGAGGAGCACGTCGAGCACCTACGCACTATTTTGAGCATTCTTCGAGATTAGTAGCTTTATGCAAAGCTGTCCAAATGCGAGTTCTGGTTGCACGAGGTTACCTTCCTCGGCCATGTCATCTCGGCCGAAGGTGTGAAGGTAGCCCCGTGTAAGATAGCAGCGGTCACGGAGTGGAAGACTCCGCGTAGAGCACGTGAGGTGAGGAGATTTCTCGGATTGGCATGCTACTATCGCCGGTTCGTGAAGGACTTCTCCAAGATAGCGTCACCGTTGCACAAACTGATGAGGAAGGACGTCAAGTTCGTTTGGACTGACGCCTGTCAGCAGAGTTTCGATCTGTTGAAGGAGTGTCTGACCCAGGCACCAGTGCTAGCTCAGCCCACTCCAGGAGTGGAGTATACGGTGTTTAGCGACGCATCCCATAACGGCTTGGGTTGTGTTCTCATGCAGGGGGGCAAAGTCGTTGCTTATGCGCCTCGGCAGTTGAAACCGCATGAGTGTAATTATCCGACGCACAACCTTGAGCTAGCAGCTATTGTCCTTGCATTGAAAATCTGGAGGCATTACCTCTACGGTGAGACCACGCCTAGCTTCACCGACCATAAGAGCCTCCAGTACTTGCTGTCATAGAAGGATCTGAACCTCCGACAGAGGAGATGGTTAGAGTTTATTAAGGACTATGACTGTCACATTGCTTATCCCCCAGGTAAGGCGAATGTGGTAGCCGATGCCCTTAGTCGCAAGACTTTAGCTGTGCTGCATGTTCAGCCTACATTACGTCAGCAGATAGCATCTACACAGAGCAGCGATGATTTTTGTATCCATACCATTGAGCTCGTCTCTCGAGGCGAGAAGCTGGATTTCACAGTTCAGGATGGTATCTTGTATTATCGGGAGCGTATGGTAGTGCCAGCGGGGGAGGTGAGAGAGCGCTTGCTTCGTGAAGCACACAGAACCGTATATACCATGCACCCGGGCAGTAACAAGATGTTCCAGGATCTTAGGAGTCATTATTGGTGGCCCACGATGAAGCGGGAGATCATAGAGTTCACATCGCGGTGCTTGACTTGTCAGCTGGTCAAGGCCGAGCATCAGGTTCCTTCAAGATTACTTCAGCAGATCACCATTCCCGAGTGGAAGTGGGATCATATCACGATGGATTTTGTCTTGGTACTGCCATTGTCACCGCGTAAGCACGACACCGTTTGGGTCATCGTTGATCGATTGACCAAGTCAGCTCATTTTCTTCCCATTCGTCGAGACTTTCCCCTTCAGCATTTGGCGGAGTTGAGTAAGATTCACAATGTATTCCACGTGTCCATGCTCCGAAGGTACCGTTCGGATCCTTCTCATGTGATTCCAGCTGATACGGTCACACTCGATGAGAATCTTACGTACGAGGTGGAGCCGGTTGAGATTCTGGCTCGTGAGGTCCGTCAGTTGAGGAACAAAACCATTCCGCTGGTCAAGGTTCTGTGGAGAAGCCACACCGTCGAGGAGGCGACATGGGAAACCTAGGAATCCATGCACACTCGCTATCCACATCTTTTTAGTGACTAATGATCAGGTAAATTTCGAGGATGAAATTTTCTTAAGGGGTGGATAATTGTAACGCCCTGCAACCCGGTCTAATAGAATTGATTGTTTTAAATAATTAATTATTGTCCCGGACCGGAGTTGGGGAAAATAAAAGTTCTTAGAAAAATTATTTGATCATATCAACAAAATTGTTTGACCGTCTCATTCCAGAAATGCAAACGGATCTCAATTCGCACCCGTTCGGGGGGAAAAGCGCGTACCGTTTAGGTCAGATTTTACATAACGGAGGAGCTAGGCCGTTCGTGTGAAACATAGTCATCGTTTGTCCGTCCATTCATCATGTTCCGTCAACCCCTATGTTTAGAGGTGAGTAGTTTTCCCCTCTAATTCTAGAAAATTTAGTTATAATCTATATCGTTATGTTCATAGGATTACCCGTCTAAACATACGTGTGTCCACGTTATCAAGACTCTTCGTTATTGGACCTCTTGATTATGTACTCGTTGATATAAATGTTTTGAAACCCTGTAAGTTCATCGATTATTTAACATGGAAATGTAAACATTCATTCCTAAAACTTCTAACGTTTTGATGACAAACAAACAGATAAAATGGAAATCAGCGTGTCTTGATAATCGAGTTACAGGATAGTACAATCGACTATCAGGCCACGCTGGACTCCTCAGTTGTTTCAGCACAGCGTGATAATCGATTATCACATATGTGATAATCGACTATCAGGCCCTGCGAATTCTTGGGTGTGAGTTGGCTTCATTGATAATCGATTATCACAGTCTGCAAGACTTTGGGGACAGAAACTGCACAACATGATAATCGATTATCAACAGTAGACAATCGATTATCAGCCAGTTCTGAATCTAAGGCCATCATGTTGAACAAATTGTTTTCATACAGAATCAAACATATATGTATGCGTTGAATTTAACTTCATTCTTCAATCAATGCATTCATTTCACCATGTTCATCCTAGACGCATGTCCTAGGTTTATCATCATATGCATACCACTGTAGGGAGGTCAGGCTTTCGTGCGCCTACTATAGTGGGCCCGCCCACGAACCTTTTGGATCCAACGGTTTTCATCAGGTGGGCTTTGTGTACGTACATAGTGGTCAGGTTACGGCTACTACCCGGTTTTTCTAGTCCACTTGTTCCCGGCTCATTACCGTTCTGGTATGACAACCGGAGTGCAGTAGTGATCCTGTCAAGTGAGGCTAAGCCAGGGGTATCCCTGATAGTTTAAGTCATGCATCAAGTCATCATCATGTATATTCCTCATCTCGTCAATATTCAATGCGTTGTATATCATCTTGTTATGCGTAATAATATCCCACCAAGTGCAGTCCGAACAGTTAGTAAACATGTGGTTCTCTCGTTGTAACGCCCCAAAACATACCCTAGAATTATTAATGAATAAATAGTAAATTAATCAAATTTGTTTTGATTAAAATAAATTATTTTTGGGCTTTGGGCCGATATGAAATGTGTTTTGGACATCCAATATCAAAATTTGGATAAGTCTCATAAAGATAAATCTAGTATGTGGACTATTTGTGTGGTCTTGATTTGGAACTTGAGTACAGACCCAAATCAAGAGTAAATAAAGAATTTGTTTAGAATGTAAATATTGACATGATTTCTTAAAACAAATCATGAGAATAACTTATATGAATTAAATGAGAGAACCTTTTATGAGAATGGTCAATTAAACCAATTTTGACTCTTTCAAAGTCAAACACCCAAAAAAAATAAGATGTTAGAAAAAGTGTTACAAATAAATATAAAAATTGTATCGTTGGATAGAGTTTAACTATCCGATCGCAACGGTGCAAACGGAATTCAATTCGGAGAAAGTTGGACCAAAAAGTGTACCCCGACTGGAACCAAAATTGGTCCCAATCAGGGACTTGCGTTTAAAACCCGTAGAAGATCGCTGTTTGCTCCACTCAGCCGCTGGAACAGGGAACAAGGACATCACCTATGGCTTCTTCTACTAACCCTCTACTATAAAACCTCCAAATTGTCCACCATTCTTCATCAATCTTATCCCAATAGAAAGAGCTGAGTGTGAGGAGCGTTTTAGTACTACCAATTTGGTGTCAAGTTGCCGGAGCAAGCTGTGGTGTTCGCCGGAAGTTTTGCCGTCTTTTCACCGGAATCATCGTTTAGCATTAAGGTAAGCCCGTAGATATATCTAAAGACTAGAATGTTCATGTAGGTTGTTTTTACGTTCATAAATGGTTGTTTGGTTGAGTTTTGTGTTTGACATGTTTAAGAACCAAGAATCATAAACCTTGAATTTGATGTTAAAAATATGTTTTAATGATTCCAAAATGATATATGAACCTTGGAGAACATTTCTATATAATTTAATTGAAGTTTGATGATTAAAAATGATAATACTCGAAACTGACCAGAGGAAGAAGATGATGGACAGTAGCCGAAAATCGATTATTTACTCCTAAGAATCGATTAGAACTTTGTTCACATGAAGTGCTCGAAGTCAGAAAAACATAATCGATTATTTTATTAAAATAAATCGATTTTTATTATATAATCGATTATTTATAAATTATAAATCTATTTTAATTAAATAATCGGTTATTTATAAATTATAAATCGATTTTTAATTATTAATCGATTATTATTCATTAAATAATCGATTTTTCCACATTTTTATATATAGAAATAGATTATTTTATATTAAATCGATTTTTCTTCAATTCGAGTTACTGCTTCGAAAAAATATTTCTAAAATTATGCTCTAAAATCCTACTTTTGATACCAACTAATTATAGACAATATAAATATGATTTTGTACAATAAAATGATGTTTTGACATATAAAAACATAATGTGATGCATGACGGTAAGTTCGGGTGTTAACACTCAATACTAGGCCAGTATTTGTTATTAGATTTTATGACTGTTTGACTACTGATTATGATAAATTAATTATGTTGAATACTCTGAATGACGATCATGAATTGTTAAGTTGAGAATAATGAATTAATGAATCATATTGTTAAGGCTACTTAGAAGACCTCTGAGATAGACCTCTTATTAGAATGGGCCTTGCTAGTATAAAATGTATATTCGGTGGCCTTGGGTAAAAACGTACGTACGGGATCCATAACCAAACTAGAGGAACTTGTTTGGGGATACCACCCAACCCAACAGTTAGTATCCTACTGTTCGGTTTTCTGGATTTGTACCTTATGCAAAGGCTAGTTTAAGAGTTGGTAAATCAATCGGAATATATGTACCTTAAACTAATGACCTAGCTTAAGAGTTGGATAGAAGTACCTTAAACTAGAACTAGTTTAAGAGTTGGTAAAACATTAAAAAGATTGGCCTTAGGTTAAGTATAGTTTAAGAATATTGTTGAGTATTGAATATTGAATATGAATGTTGAATATTGAAATATTGAAATATTGAAATATTGAAATAAAAATATTGAGAATATCATGAATTATATATTGTGTGCATGATATCAAGTGGTTGTTTGTGAATTGAGATTCAATTTATGTGGATGTTCGACGTTTTAGATATGCTTACTCAGCTTCACCGCTGAGCGTGTAGTGTGTTTTATTTGCTACACGCAGGTAGGCAGAACGAGTAATTGACATGTTCCTGGCAGCAGAAGGGGCGAGGCGATCGTGGTGGATTTATGATTTAAAATGATTAAATTAAATTTTTATGAGACACGATTTAAATTGCTTCTGCATTATGGTTAAAAACTCCGTAATTTATTACTGTTATGTATGAAATATTATTTTATGATAAATAAAGATGTTAAAATGTTTTAAATTTTTACGATTACCAAATTAATACTTTAGTCCGAAAGGGGCTGCAGACCTGGACCGATTAGGGTGTTACAATTTGGTATCGGAGCAAATGGTTTTAAAACCGATCTTTGGATAAAAAAAATAGTAATAATAATAAAATTACATATATGATATAGATATTTTCGGCTTTCAAAAAAAATTCGGTCAAATCCACGACTCTCGCATCCCTCTGCTCCAGGAAAGGTATGAGAATTATTTGGCAAATATTAACTCTATTAAAATTCTCATTAGAGAATAATTGTTAGTACTGAAATCATATTGAGCATAGACTCTAGTTGAACTTTCGTACTCGGTGGGAATATCAAAGGACAACGGACGCTCCTACTCAATTAATTTGAGTAGGGGAGAAAAAAAGAGTCCAAAAATTATTTTGTGTGTCAAATGATGTACACGAAAAATATTTAAGGTATATTTTTTCTTAAAAAAAAAATTTGTGTAATCTCAAAAAATGTTTTTAAAAAGTTTTGACACACTTATTTTGAGACTGACTCAGTAAAATATTTTAGACTGAGGAAAAGTAATTTTTTAACTGACTCAAAAAAAAAAAATTTATCCCTCAGAAATTAATTTGTTTGTGCAGAAGATATTGTCATCCTTACACATATTCCTAGACTAAAATAAAAAGTCTTCGGAGTCTTCTCTTCACTTAAAAAATCTGCGTAGGGGTGGTCGTCGATTTATATCGCCATAAACTTCTTGATACCCTTCTTTGCTTTTCTTGATACGAAAAATAAATTTTCAATCAGCTGGAAATTAATCATCCTGTTTGTCATTCATCAAAACAAAAAATATTTCAGAAGAAAAAGAAAAAGGGGTTTGAACTCATGTCCAACAATTTCTCCCTTTTTGATAATGACAAACATAGTTGAGAAAGAGCAAAGTAAGAGTTCAGAAATTACTTCCTTTTAAGAGAAATTCCCCCTGCAAAGTTAGAGAAGTGCAGTAAAAAATAATCATCGGAGTAATAAGCGGAAAATAATTCTCAACTATCCTTCCTTCCCCCTTTTGGCATTATCAACCGATAACCCAATCAAATTTGACATCGTTCAACAGGACGTGAAACAAACGAATATCGTCCTTGTTGACAACGCCATGGTTCGAATCACGGGGCAACAAAACATATGAGAAGATGTATTGTTGGACGCGTTGAATGAAAGTGAGATTAATGACACTCGGGTTGCTAGAGTTTCTAAACTTGAGGTCACGATGATCTAACTCGAGTTGTCGCCATATTGCCTCATCTTGGAATGTTTCATCCAATTTT